TTACCTATCCCAAGGTCAGAAAGTTTTACTCCTATAATTTTATTTTAGAAGTTTCAGAGTTTTACATTTAGGTCTATGATTCGTTAATGCAATTTTTTAAAAAAGATTTTTTAATTGATTTTTTTTTAAAGAGCGGAATGAGAAGAGGGAGAGAGAAACATCAATGTGAGAGAGAGACATCTGTCAGAACCAGCAACCTTTTCGTACACAGGACGATGCCCAACCAACTGAGGCACACCAGCCAGGGCTCAGGTTAATTTTTGTACATGCAGGATAAGATTTTTTTTATTTGTGTTTTTTGCGTATGGATGTACAATTGTTTCAGTACCATGCATTAAAAAGATGATCCTTTTTTCAAGTGAATGGCCTTGGCACTTTTGTTGAAAATCAGTCAAACATATATTTGTAGCTCTGTTTCTGGACCCTGTTCTGTTTTAGTAATCTATGTCTGTCTGTACTCCAATACCACACTATCTTCATTACTGCAGCTTTGTGATAAGTCTTGAAAGATAAATCTTCCAACTCCCCCCCCCCCCAAATTGTCTGGGTCATTCTAGGTTTTTTCTATTTCTGTATATGTTTTAGAACCTGCTTAATCAATTTCTAAAAAAAAAAAAAAGCTCTCTAGGATTTTGATTGGAATTGCATTGAATTCATAGATCAATTTGGAGAAGAATTGACATCTTAGTCATATTGAGTCTTCTAATCCATGAACATGGTATATCTCCTCAGTTATTTTGAGCTCCTTTAATTTTCAATTCAGGAGTATTTTGTAGTTTTCGGTGTACAGGTCTGGCACATATTTTGTTTAATTTGTCCCTAAATGTTTCAGGTCTATTAAAATGGTATTTTTAGAAGTTTCAGACTCCAAATATTCTCGGTTAATATATAGAAATACACCCAGTTTTTGTATATTGCCCTTGTATTTTGAAACCTTGCTGAACTCGCTTACTAGTTCTGGTACTTTTTTGGTAGATTCCTTACTATCTTCATCATTGTGTGCAATGTGTTCCCGCAAGAAACAAAGGCACGTCCACCTTTCCTGTGAATGGCTAGCGATCGACTCCTTAGTGCTGTGGCCAATTCAAAAGGGCCAACAGTTATGTAACTATAAAACATTCAGCTTTTGGTTCTACCGAAATTGTATTTAATTAGCCTGAAATCTTAGAGAAAGGTAAAAACTAAATTCTTGAAATTCAAATGTTTTTAAAAAAATATTAATTAGAAGGTTTTTATGAATGTCATTGGGGTGAAAGTTGATAGCAGTTGTTTTTTGTTTTCAATAGAACTAATTGGCTTCAAAGATTTCAAAGAGTTAGATGGATTTGGGATTGGGGTTGGGTAACACTACTTATGTCAGCCTATTTGCCTTGATATATATGATCCAAACCTCTTTTGTCAACAGAATATCTACACTGCCTTAGTGGTCATTAGTAGAGTTAAGCCAAGAATCATGAATCCTTTTTCCTACACATGGCATCAGCTACTTGTACAGCTCTTAAGTCATTGTTGTAATTTGAGTGCATTTGAAGGGACATTCCAGGCAGATTTGCATCAGACAGGTAGTAATGCTGATATTTCTTACAACCAGAATTTTATTCTATTATCCAGGGATAACAGGTGTGGGAGAGCCTAAATGCTTCCTTTGTGTCCTTGGTTTTGATGGCTTAAAGTTGCATTTGACTATCGTGAATGTAAATATTTATGGGTAGTATACGGTTATATTTCTTAAGAGGCTTCAGGCCTCATTTTATATCTTTTAGATTCTGTTTGTCCTGAGCAATTTACTTGGCTCTGAGTAAGTCCTGAAAGATTATGTGAAGGAAGTATAAGAGGGAAAAAAAAAGTGCATTGCTTTCATCAATTTTATTTTTTTGTATTTGTGCATCAAAGTGTTGCTTTAAAAAACATAATTGGGAATATTACTTTCGTAATTAGTAGATATAGTAATCTATATATATAAAAGCCTAAGTGACCATTATGACTGAATGACCGGAATGACTGGTCGACCAGTTGCTATGGCCTGCACTGACCACCAGGGGGCAGACGCTCAATGCAGGAGCTGCCCCCTGGTGGTCAGTGCACTTCCACAGCCAACCTCCCACGGCCAGCCAACCTTCCGTGTCCCTTCCCACTCACCCCCCTCATCTGGCTGGCCCAGATCAGCCCCTATCGCCAGCCAGGCCGAGGGACCCCACCCATGCATGAATTCGTGCACCGGGCCTCTAATGATAATATAATTCTTTGAGAATCTGCTCCCAATTGGTATGCAAATAAGAGCAGATGACTCTACTTGGCCAGTCAGGTGGACCACATTGCTAAAGGGAAGTGTATCGGAGTTGTTGGAGTGAATTTCCTTAGCCCTTGTCCTATGTCACACTCTGTGGTAGTTGTGTGTACATCCGCCGGCCTTCCGTCCTCTGTCCACTGTGGCACTATTTGTGAGACACAGATATTTCTTAGATAAATGATGCCTAACTGGTGTCGGATAATTCACTCCAGAGAGGACTCCCTGCTTTATTTGGTCCTGGAAGTTCTGTCGCCTGCCGGCTGTTCCCTTCCGGTTCCCCTCGGGTTTTCATTGACTTTGAGCGGGGGCTCACATTGCCTACACCCGCCGAGTCACCGCCTCACTCCGCGTGGCTAGTGAAAGGTAGAGTCCGTGCAGACACTCCGTTATCTGGATGGCTTACCCTTTCACCCTGTGTATGTTTAGCCTGTGTGGTTCCCTTGTGACGACCAGCGGCCCTGGGAATGTGAGGAGGGGACTTCAGACCTGTTTTTCTTAATCCCTTAAGAGGGCTGACCAACACTTAAGGAGCAGAGTTGCTTTTAACTGGTGGCCAGATCTGAGGTTTGGGGGTGTCTCGGTCAGTTCAGGCTGTGAAGCAGAATGGCATCGACCGGGCGGCTTGTCAAGGGCAGAGTCATTTCTCCGGCTTCTGGAGCCTGGAAGCCAGGACCAGGGTGCCAGCATGGCTGGTTCTGGTGAAGGCCCTCTACCAGGCCGCAGATGGCCGTCTGGTCGCTGTGCCCTCACTTGGTGAGAGGGTGAGGGACCTCCCGGGGGTTTGATAAAGGCACTAACCCTATTGAGGAGGACTCCGCCCGCATGACTCATCACCTCCCAAAGGTTCCACCTCCCAATGCAATCGCCTTGGGGGTTAGGATTTCAACATAAGAATTTGGGGGGGGGGGCACCAGCCTTCAGTCCATTACCTGTGCCCGTCATTCGTTCCTTCTGTCTTCTTCCTCCACAGAGTGCATGCCCACGAGACAGCGAGCAGGGACTGTGCTCAGAGGTTGAGCCGAATGCTCTCGGCACCTCAGTGCCGGGTCCCCGGGGCCGTCTCCACCTGGGTTTTGGGTTTTCTCCCAGGTGGGAGAACGTGTGTCCTCGTGGGGAAAAGTGGGAGGATACGCGTTTTCTGTAAAATGCACGGAAGGCTAGAGGATTCCTAGGGAGCCTGAGAGCTGGAGGGGGCTTTGGGGAATTTAGGGTAGAAAGTGTGAGAAGGACTCTACTCATTTCCTGGATCCTGGTTTCTAGCCGTTTATTTTTGTGGTTTAAGCACACTCAGCGTCCTTACTGCCGGTTGTATAATCGGTCCAGCGTTCAGAACACGCGAAAGTAGCGTTTATTGGTCATGACTTAGGAAGTGCTTATGCGACCTAAGTGCCATCTTAAGGAAAAGCTACCCTCGTCTAACGTAATGCCGCATTACGACCTTCCCATTTCTTTCTTTACGACGCAGGAAATCCGGGACCCTCTCCTGCGGTGGCTGGAGAGATGTGTGGATGCTGGAGGAGTAATAAAATCCAGCAAGCTCTCCCTCACCTTCGTCCCATCCTACACGCCTGAAATGGAAGTCACCCCCGCGGCTCTCCCCGTGGTGACTGACACGACGGCCTTCTCGTCCGCACATTTTGACTTGGAGATCTACCGGCAAAACTTGCAGACAAAGCAACTGGGGAAAGTAATTCTGTTTGCCGAAGTGACGTCCTCCACCATGAGTCTTCTGGACGGGTAAGTGGAGGCCCTGTGCAGATGAGTCCTACTGTGCGAAGGTTCGTTGCCTCTAACCAGCGCTGGGGAGAAGGGATAGGCGTAAATGAAGTGCAGCTCTTTGATCACAGGTTTTCGTTCTAAAGCATGGGTGGTTTCTGTGCCCGTGACCCTTTTTTTAATCAGGCCTTTCAGAATGTTCTTGGGGAAAAGCACGTTATGAAAAGACACGTTTAACAGGTGGCATTGCTGTTCAAGTTATCGTTTCGCTTTAGCGTTGCTGGCACCGGCGTTAAACATTTAGTTGACGTCCTTTGCGGGGTTGTCAGGAGAGCAGGTTTGCACGCCGTGTAAGCTGTGTTCAGTTGAAACAGATCGGAGCTTTGTACTTCGCTGCGTTCCTGCCCAAGACATTTTTGGAGCACTCTGTAATCCCACGTGGATGTTCGACATTTATTAAAAATTTTCCTTTCAGTTCCTTCTGTTTCCTGGACATTGATTAAAGGTTAAAAAATGGAAAACAGATGAAAGGACTTGTTTAAACTCCCAAATTAGTCAGTATTAATTAATGCTCTTATATTGAGATAGTTTAACAAGTAGGGTTATGGAGGGAATGAATAAGAAAAGCATCTTCCCTCAACATGGGACTAAAATGTAAGGAATGTAAGATTCCCCCCCAAAAAACCCCCAGATCCCCGGTTTCAGACACTCCCCCTGTTAGATTGCATGGTTGGCTGCATAATTCAGTGTATGGAACATATGGGAATATTTGGCCTCTCTTCTTAATAACTTCTGGAATTTGATAGCATGTTGATATCAAACGGTGACGTTAGGATTTCTTGACCCTCATTCTCAAAGTCATGGAAATGGCAGCTTTGCTGAGTACAGAGGCTGCAGGAAAAACATTCGTAAGGCCGCGATTTTCAACCTTTTTCCCCTCACGGCACACACAAGCTAGTTACTAAAATCTGCGGCACACAATGTGGTTTTCGCCGATTTGACACAGAACAATAGGTATGATTTTTATTCATTTACATCGGACGCCTATTGTTGTGTTGGCCGTTGTCATTTTTTATTTGACAACCTAAGGCAGTGGTCGGCAAACTCATTAGTCAACAGAGCCAAATATCAACAGTACAACGATTGAATTTCTTTTGAGAGCCAAAGTTTTTAAACTTAAACTATATAGGTAGGTACATTGTTATTAACTTAATTAGGGTACTCCTAAGGCTTGGGAAGAGCCACACTCAAGGGGCCAAAGAGCCGCGTGTGGCTCGCGAGCCGCAGTTTGCCGACCACGGACCTAAGGGAAAAGTGGTCTGTGCCCCCGACTAAATAGTCAGGTGTTGCATGTTTAAGAGTTCCTGCAGCACCGGGTGAACATCGCTGGTGTAGGGAATTGACAGAGTGGGGGAGCAGTAGGAAGGGGATATGAGCCGTGGTAACACAGTTCTTGTTTACTGAGCTGTTTTGTGTTGTCATAGGT